TGTTAACACTCATTTTTCAGAAGAAGCCATAATGTTAAAGAATTAGGGGGTTCTGTTATCCACCCACCAATTTACAACTAAGTTTAACCAATGCTTAAAATGCAACATAAATAAATCAATGCATCCAAAGAATGGAGGTCTGTCCTTTATACTTGTGAGTTGGACAAATGGTGCCATTTCTTATAAATAATTTTCTTTTCCCCCTGTTTGTTCCATGTTCCCCTATGTTTCTGTTTCTTCAATATTTGAGTGTAACACAAAGACTGTTGTTTTTTCATGCTATATACCAAGGGTTCCCAACCCCTGGTCTGTGGACCGGCACTGATCCCCAGGATGCCTGCAAGCAAGCCACACAAACAAGCAATGCTCCATCCTCGGGATGCAGACAGTATTCAAAACCACACCTCCTCTGGTCCACGGAAAAACCTTTATCCATGGCACCGGTCCCTGGTGCCCAAAAGGTTGGGGACCTCTGCTATATACAATGAAAGATTTTGATGCTTTATAGTAATTAAATCAATGTCTCTCAACCTTGGCAACTTTAAGATGTATGGACTTTAATTCCCAGAATTCCCCAGCCAGTATATCTGATTGATGAATTCTGGGAGTAGAAGTCCATACATTATAAAGTTGTCAAATTTGAGAAACACTGACTTGAAGTGTTGGGATATGGTTTCCACTGCTGATTATGTTACAGACAGGAGCATGTGTTGCATTAATGACATACCTATTAGGTAAGTGATGACTTCCAAAGGCAGTGCTTCCTCCAGGACCTACAAAAAGTCTTAGCCCTTCTTCTGCAAAAATAAATATAAATATTACTATGTTTGACAAGCTGTTTTTTGGAAAAAACTATGATGCAATGAATATTTCCTGTCTCTTCCAGCTGTAAATATGGCTAGGAACCTTTGGGAGCAGAATAGGATATGATGGGAGAAATTCCAAAAAAAACCCTTGAATTGTGGAAACTGCAAGCCCCCCCACTTTAAATTATTATATATAGATTATCTAGAGTTACCAAATTATATATAGAAATTTAATAAATACAGTTATCAGTATACAGTATTAATTCTAGAAATACATTTCTAATCTGAACAATTGTGATTCTTCAGAGTTTCAAAGGATTTAATGCTTTCATCAAAATGACCAAAGCAGCATTGTGCTGCAGTGTCGGCTACTGTATGCTTGCATATACCATGACCACCAGGGCTTTTTTTCAGCCGGAACGCGGCGGAACCGCGTTCCGGCACCTTTTTCCGGGCCGGCCGCACCGGGCGCAACATCTGGGGGGGCGCGCTCGCACTCGCAGCTCTCTGCCCCTGCCTGGCTCACAACCGCGGCCATAGGGAGGCTCGGTCGGCGCGCCCCTGGCCCGTTTCCTAGGCGACCCTGCCCGAGCA